AGGGATCAAAAAAGTGCAAAAAATTGTTAAGGGACCAAAAATGTGCAAACCACTATAGTTGAGGGACCAAATCTAGCATTTAACCATTAAAAATTAATAACAATTTTATTAGTCATTTAATAAAAATATTTATATGTCATAGATATTAAAATTAATATTAATTTTTTTATTTTTATATATATATTAATATATAAAAAATACAATTAAAATTCTCTTAATTTATATATAAGTTAAATAAACTCTTTTTTAAAATATTTAAGATATTTTAATAACTTCGTCAACTCAACTCAACTGCTTGTAAGAAATTTGAGAGCCCGTCGCCGGCGCTTGAACCAGAGGCACCGGATCTGCTGTGGCAGCTGTGTGCGCTCCATTCCAATTCCATTATTTCTCTTTAATGTTCTAAGGGTTTTTTTCTTTTTTTTTTTCTGGGTTTCTCTGTAAATTTGCAATTAAAGGATGCCGTAATCGAACGATTCGGAGCACGGGGTTGTATTGATTGTTGAGGAAACCGGTTGTCTTGAAGCCAAAGTTTATCTTCAAAGGGAGCTGCTCATAGTTTCACTGCAGCTTTTGAGTTGAATCTTTGTTAAATATCGTTTTGGGTGACTCGAGCTTGATTTCTCTGTTTAATAATCAATTTAAGCATCTAATTTCACATGTTTTGACACTTTTGTATCTTTTTATTCACTGTGAACACAATGCCAAAGGATGGCCTGGACTTGGTTTGGGGCTGTTTGTTGACTGTTTAAACAAATATTCTGCTCTGGACGTTCAGGTATTGTTGAGATTCAGTATCCAGGACCTGATATGCCGCTGCTTATCAGGTATGTTTCCATATGCTATTTATAATCACAACTTTTACCATACTTTGTTGTTGCAATTTGGATACATAATAATCTGCATGATCCACTTAATATCTGTACTAACACTTAGCACCTATGACTTCACCCCTTTGCTGTAAACTCATTAATTTTCTATGTTTTCTAGGCCTGTTGATTCGCTTGATGCTTGCATTTATGCAGAAATCAGGACAAGAATCCCAGAGACAATTTCATGGGACTACAACTTTGAACCTGCAGCAACTACACCACTTACTTTTACTGTGGAAGTATTATACTTCAGGTATACTCTTACTGTCTTACAAAGTATTTATAGGGTAAGGGGATAGTGAGAGTATGTTGTATCTTCCAATAGCTTGAGAATTTGGCGTTTACATTTTCATTTAAAAAAGTGAACCATGGTGTTCATTCATCAGTCTGCAGCTTCCAGATTATTCCCGAGCCGAGCCTGCATCAACAGGAATAAGTACAAGTTTGAAGTTTCTACAAGCAACCACTTCAAACCTACCCAGTACCAGTAGTGTGGTTAAAGATAACAGAGGAAGTAAATTGACTATTGGGAGAGGAGGCATTCTGAAAGTTCAGGACCTGGTTTCAATTGCCAGACTACCTGCTTCACATCCACACATTGAATCTGTTGGCTATTAGCAACCCAGCAGAATAGCTTATATAGAGTTCTTTGTGAAGCCTGAGGTAGATGAAGACATGGCAAATGATTCATAGGACTTTATTGAAGACATTAATTTGTGTTTAAGTTTGTAGTAGTCAGTCATTAATTCATTATCCTATGTCCTATCAACAAATTCCAATACACTATACTTCAATTGTTATTGTTGATTACTTGAAAGTACTTAGCCATGCATCGTTGTATTCTCATGAGTTACATTTCATGTATTCAACAGTTTGAAAGAATGAGGGGCTTTGAAAAACTAGGTTCATCTCTAATTAAGATTTTCACCATAAGATGAGAAATTATGTGCCATCTTACTCTTATATAGGTATATGAATGAATAATTGTTCGAAGGATGTAACAAGGTATACCTAAAATGAAAAGGGGTACCATCAAAGAGATGGTCTTCCAACATTGAACCTCAATAACAGAATCTAAAGGGGCAAATTTTGTTCATGAAAAATCACTATATTTGACTAAAACAAAACTGAAATATAACATTTGTTTGATTAAAGCAAAAACTAAACCACAAAAATGTGAAGGAATTACCAATCTTCTTCAACCATTGATCTCCATAGACTGTAAGAGTGACTGCCTCAACTGATCCACTTCATTTTGGCCAAACAATTGCCATTCGGGTTCAGCACAAGACTCAAAACTAACCCTCTCCCCTTGGTAAGCAAATTGCATTCTGCACTGTTTGAAATCCCATAAAATAGGGCCTAAAGTTGCAAGCCATTGATTTCCCAAAACCACATCACATCCGTTTTCAATGGGTAGCATTAGCATATCAGATTCAAACTCAATGTTCATTATTGTCCATTTAAAGCCTTTGCAAATTCTGGTCTTCCCCTTGTAATTTGTTCCACCAGCCACTTCCACATCATTATTTCCCAAGTTACACAAGGTAATAATGGACCGACCATTCCTCTTCCTCAGAAATTCCTTGAGATTCAAGAAATTATGGGTGCTGCTAAGATCTACCAAAATCTTGATGGCAGTTGATTGGACATAACCTATGAGTCTCATGGGAATATTAGCAGGCCATCCATGCAGGGAATGTGCAGAAATGCATGGTATATCACTCTCAGTTCCAGCTCTATTTCCCGAATCATCAATTTCCTGAGATGTCCCAACCTTTTGCCATTCATGCTCAGCATAGGACTTCAAAACTGTCTTCTTTCCTTGATAAGTGAATCCAATTCTAGACTGTTTGAAATCCCAAACAACAGTGCCTAAAGTAGCTAGCCATTGGTTTCCAAGAACCATGTCACATACCTCCAGTTGGGTCAGCCCTATCACATCAGTTTCAAACTCAATGCTGTCTATTCTCCATTTAAACCCTTTGCAGATTGAGCCCTTCTCCACGCTGCCATTTCCAGTAGAAAATTTTGAAGCATTTCCGAATACAGCAGAGAAACTCATCCCCCCAACTTTTGCAGGATTCAAGAAATTATGAGTGCTGCTTGAATCTACCAGAATCTTGATGGGAGTAGACTCAACAGAAGCTACGAGCCTCAAGGGATGATTAGCACGCCAACCCATCAGAGCATGCCCTGAAATATATGGAATCTCGCACTGAATTCCACCCACGGTGCTTTCTTCAATTTTCTTGGATTTCTCTCCGTTACAATTATGTCCTCGGGTATACTTCTCATCGCAGTTGAAACACAAACCCTTCATCTTTCTTTCCATTCTGATTAGGGTTGTTGAAGGAAGGTCCCCAGATGGGCCAGATTCATGCTCTTGAGGTTGAGGGGCTTTCCCTGAGTTCTTTCTTGCGCCCTTTTCCCCACAATCTCGAATCAAAGAAGTGACATAGCTCTTCCAGCTTGGTGGCTTACTTCTTCTCTTCATGAATCTTTCATGCCACTCTAGCGTCTCCTCGTCCAGATACAGAGAAACGATCAACGCTTGGTATTTTTCTGGTACTCGACCTGGGTTATCATCAAAGAACTTTCCGCATTTTTGAACCCACCCCTTGACGTCTTCCTTCGTAAACTCTGGAAAATCCTCAGCTCCTTCCATCTGCTCCTTAAGATCCGCCAGTTTTTCTGCATATTCAACCAGATCGAGTAGTACTTTAGACAACAAACTATGCAATTTAAGACCTTCCTGATCATCCATGGGTGAGAACGGAGGATTTTCTTGGAATTTTTTTTTTTTTTTTTTGCAAAGAATGAGAGAAAAAGGGTTTTCTTGGATTTCTTTATTTTTTTTTGCAGAGAATTGAGAGAAAATATGGTTTCTTGCAATGGCGGGGCGAGGAGAAATTGAAAATTGAAAGTGACGGTCTGGGTTTATTTTTTTTTTTTTTGGTAATAAACGGTCTGGGTTTATGAACTGGAAAAATCTCGGTTTCTTTTGGATGAAGAAATTCTGAAATTCGAGTTTTATTTTGAGGACTAATTTTTAAACCCATTTTGAAAAAATCCGGGTTTCGCTTTATGACAATTCTTTATTTTTTTTAATAATGGATGTTGAAGAAACTTAATCATATACAGTAGTCGAAAACCCATAATTTCAATATGCAAACCATGCAGACTTTTTTCTTTCTTCTTTTCTTTTTTTTTTTTTTTTTTTTTGTAAGAGAAAGAAAGATACTAGCGGAATGGGGATTTTTTTACAACATAAATAATTAAACCTTTCATACCTGATAATTTGGATGAATTCATGATGATAGCTCAAAATCACTCCTGTTAAAATTTTGTTATCACAAAAGTAAATATAGCAAAATATTAAGTTGTTGATGACTAATGAAGAAGTATTGCGCAATATTTATGTGAAAAGTTTCATAATAATCCTACCCTAACGGTAATCCTAGGCATATTAGATTTTGGATTTACACAATCAACAAGAGTTAGGGTCTTGGGTCCCAAGCAACTCCTAAACTTTTAAAAATTTATTAATATGGTACGTAAATTTTTATTTTTCTTTAATTAAATTTTTTTTTATTTTATATAATTCCAATCAACTTCTTATCAATATTTTAATTTATCCCCTTCGTTACCATCTTACAATAATTTTTTTTTATTAACCTTTAGGTATTTAGTAATTATATTGAATTTTGACTAATTCAGAATGAAACTACGTCGATTTTATTAAGGAACCTTTCCCAATACTTATTTATCTATTTGCAAGAGTTAACTCAACTTTATTTAAATAGGAACTAATTCTTTCCGCTCAAACATCGTTGGCCTTACACTAGTTATTAAATTTCAACTTACAACACTAATAAACTCTACATTATGAAAGTCCAATGGAATCCTTGATGTTAAGCAGTCAAATTATTTCTCCGACAACGTACAAATGCAGGGAAAAATTGAAGCTTACGAAGAATCGTTCTAACAATCAGCCCACTCCTCTTCTTTAATTCCCTTACGTTCGTTGAAATCTCTGTTTCTTTCTTCACTAACCATCTGCTCTCCAATGGTCTCTCTCAACTCTCCCAATTCTACCACCTCCGGACTCCGTCCTTTGTGTTCGTACATGCACGAAACTTGATCAAGCAACGACGCCGCCGTTCTGCGAAAATTGAATGTTGAGACCACTGGCTAAAAAAGGAGAGCAGTTATGTACATATGGTGGTGGCTTGAATATGGAAGCCATAGTAGTCAGTCATTTGCTTCGCGGCTGGTCTCATTCGCCGTTGGTTATTGTCGGAATTACTTTACTAATTTATCTTTACCGGCATGACGGCATCCACACGCAAGAGAAGAAATGGCCGTCCGCTGAAGGATGGATAGGGGTTTGATCTTCGTCTCGAATGTCAGCAGAGAAAAATAGAGGCTGAGTGGCAAAAGAGCAGAGACAGGTGACGGTGAGAAAGGCGGATGGCGTTTCGTTTTCCTAGTTCACCTACGGCTTAGATTTGATCTCCAAACCAATGACTGCAGGTCTGCGCCCCACAACGATTTGACTATTTCTCTTCAATCTTTCAAGGTTTTTTTTCTTCTGATTTTCTTTGTATTACAGGATGCCGTTATTGAACTATTGGAACACAGATTTGTATTGTTGTTGAGGAAACCAGTTGTCTTCAAGCCAAAGTTTGTCTTCAAAGGAGGTACCAATGGTTTCCCTTTTCTTTTTTTTGGGCATCATAGTTTTAGCTTAGGTTTGGATACAAATTAATAAAGGAGGGGAAAGGGAAGAGAGGGGAAGGAAAGCAAGGAGAAGTGAAGGAAAAGAAAAAGTTAATATTAGTTTTGTTTAGATAGATGAAAGTGAAAGAGAGAAAATGATAATATTTTTATTTAATTAAATAATTTAATAAAAAATAAAATAATTTTTTTTAAAATTTATTAATTAAATAAATAATTAAAATAAAATATTTACATATATTTATTTTATAAAAAATTTAAAACAAAAATAAATTAAATAATGAAATCTCTCTCAATCCCTTTAAATTGAAGGGATTGAAAATTGAGGAAGGGAGAGAGCTTCGTCTCCCTCCCCTCCATTAAAATTTTTTATCCAAACAAAAAGAAAGGCTTTGAGCCCCTCACTCTCCTTTCTTTTCCCTCCAACTTTCTCAATCTAAACAAAGTATTAGAGTCCTAATAAAGGTTTTTAGTTGAATCTTTGTTAATACCATTTGCGTGACTCCATCTTTGATTTTCTGTTTAATAATCAATTGTTTGAGA